CAGAATCACATCGGTTACACATCCACATTTTTACATAATGCCATAATAGTAACTGTTGTATTCTGCTACCTTTTCATTTTGTATATCAAAAAATAATGTTATTATATTCTCTGTTTGATGGTACAGTATCCTCATATCTTCCTTTCTTACTTTAAGGAAGGCTTCGTCTATTTTTTTTAAACATATTTATAATGGCTGCAGTGAAGTCTGTGTCTATTAAATCCAACATCAGAATCCCACAAAGGCAGCTGTGGTTTCTTTTGCCTGTTTTCTCTGTGTATGGGTCACATTTTCCCATTTCTTTGCATATCTTATAGTTTTCTGTTGAAAACCAGACATTTTAGATAATATATTGTAGTTACTCTGCTCCCCTCAATGTTTGTTGTTTATTTGTTTAGGTACTTGATTAGTTTTTTTAATAAAGTACATTCCTTCCCCCAAGTATAGCCTCCAATGTTGCTCTTCAGAGGGCACAGCCTTGAGCTTGCTCTGACCTCTCCTTCCCCATCTCTCTCTGTCTCTCCCTGGGGATTGAACCCAGGACCTTGCACATGCTAGACAAGTGCTTTACAACTAAGCTATACCCTCAGCTCTCTTTTACTCTCCATTATGGTTTAGACTTGAGGTGTCCCCCCAAAGCTCATGTGTGAGACAGTGAAAGAAGGTTCAGAGGTAAAATAATTAGATAATGAGAGTTGTAACCCAGTCAGTGGATTAATCCACTGATAGGGATTAACTGGGTGGTAACTGAAGGCAGGTGGGGTATGGCTAGAGGAGGTGGGTCATTGGAGGTGTGCCTTTGGGGTTTATATTTTGTCCCTGGTGAATAGAGCGCTCCCCCCACTCTCTCTCCACTTCTTGATTGTTATGTCCTGAGCTGCTTTCCTCTGTCACACCTTTCTGCCATGATGTTCTGCCTCACTCTGGGCTCAGAGCAATGGGATCAGCCATCTATAGACTGGGACCTCTGAAATTGTGAGCCCCAAATAAACTTTTCCTCCTCTATGTTGTTCTTATCAGGTATTTTGGTCACAGTGGCAAAACAGCTGACTAAAACACTCTTTTTTCTATGATCTCTCTGTTAAGTTTCTGGTTTGCCTGTCTCATACCCAGTTGTTAGCCTACACTAATTACTAGTTGTTTACTCCATTGTTTTCCACAATGACCTGCAGCATAAATTCTTCCACAGGGTAGTACTATTAAATGCTGTCCCACTGTTAGGACAGTCTTTGAGACCTGTTGTTGAGCTTTACTACCAATATCAAGGTGGCTTTTCTTAGCTGCATTCTCTTTTAACTTGATCTACCTTTTTTTTTTTTTTTTTTCTCATTTGCTGTCATGAGAATACCAATCTCCTCCTAACTGTTCACTAGAAAGATCTGCTTTTTCTAAATATGGGCCTTAGACTTGACCTTTCCCATTCTCTATTTGAAAAAATGTCAGTTCCCTTAAGGAGAGCTACAAAGCTTTCTGTTCTTATGGCTTCATCTCCACCTTGGCAGAAACTCTGTATTATTGTTCTGTGAATAGGGGCAGGAATCTATAGTGGTACCTCTTACAGGCAGGACTATGGACATGGAATGCATCCCTGGTTTTCTTAGTTCCTCCTTTCTTCACTGGGTGTAGCCTCTACCTACAAGCAAGCTGAGGTGACAGTTATTGGGGTTCAGTTTTCTTGGCCTGCTATGCATGGGATAAACTGTCTGTCTTACAAGTGGTATGTGGGTAAAGGCCTGACCTCTCTTCCTGGAATAGAGCTTCTGCAGTATAGAGCTGGAAAGTATAAGGAAAGTTGGCAACAATCCTTCTGGAGAGAAATCATACCCTTATATTGGAAGATGGGAAAGAGTGGCCCTGCGCTATTGACTACAGTTACCTAGAGTAGGTTCTATTTCACTAAGCTGGATGAGGTGGGGAGAATAGTTTATGGCTCAAATGTCATAAACTCTAGCTGTTCTTACTAAGATTCAATAGATTTTCTTGAATAAATTCTCCTCTATTTAATGGAAACTTTTGGAACAATTTCCACAGAATTTAATTATTTGGTTGTCTTTATTAAAAAAAATAATTATTATGGTTATTCTTATGGCAAATAGAATCCAGAGATCATCAGTTCACTAATCTTGAAGTGCTTTTTCAAATAATTTCTTTTTAGAAAAAATGTCTTAGGACTATTACAAGGATGAAAATAATAATGAATTCCCATTCTAGCTCCACTTTAGCCAATTTTTTTTTTTTAGAGAGAGAGAGAGAGAGAGAGAGAGAGAGAGAGAGGGAGATTTTTTAATATTTATTTTTTAGTTTTTGGTGGACACAACATCTTTATTTTATTTTATTTTTTTATGTGGTGCTGAGGATCAAACCCAGTGCCCTACGCATGCCTGGTGAGCGCGCTACTGCTTAAGCCACATCCCCAGCCTAAGACAAAATTTTTAACCTGTGCTTTTCTTCATTTATAATGAGAACTAAACACCACTCTATAGTAAGAATCAAAAGATCATTAAAATACAGTCATGTGTCAGTAAACAAAGGGAATAATACCTTCTGAGAAATTAATCCTCAGGTGATTTTTTTTGTAGTGTGATCATCATAGAGTGCATTTACATAAACTAAGATGGATTCAATATCACTAGGTGATATAATCTTATGGTAGCACCATCATATATGTGGTCTATCATTGACTGAAATGTCATTATGTGGTGCATAACAATAGCATATATAAAGCACCTAACACAGAATTGACTCATAGCAGATGTGATAAATGTCACTTTTCTCCCCTTCGTGCAGATGACCCTCAGTCTGGATAGCTATATGTTTACACTAGCAGAGTATCTGAATTATGGCCTATATGTAATAAATGTTGAATAGGATTTAAGATGGACTGATGAATGGAAGAATGAATGAAATGATCAGAGTGATTTGTAAGTTTACAATCTCTAATTTATCAATATAAAAAATATGGGTGATGTTCACATTTTAATGGTATAGTCTAAACAGTCTAATCAGAACTGATGCTCTCAGGGGTGGCTACATAATTAGCAGGGCAGAGTAGAGAAAGCAAAATGGGGCCTTCTCTTCAAACATTATTAAGAATTTCAACATGGCAAATCATTAAACCATGTTTGGGGCTATTCCAACCATGGGGTCCTTTGTAATTACACAGGACACATAACCCATGAAACTATCCTTGCTCACCTCAGCCCTGGAGTAAGGTTCTGATGGACTCCTCCTGCTGTGATAGGTGTTATACTTTAGTTGATGGATCTGGGAGGTCCTAGGAGAAGGGTACCAAGTGAAGGGCTGAAGCAGCCCCAGGTGCAGAAGACAGATGACTTAGAACTATGACCTAGGGCACTGTCTGTGTACCTAGCATTTGGGAAAAATTCAATTTATTAAAATTCCATCATAATGCAATATAAAAGGCAGTTCACAAAATTCAACTTTATTAAGTTTGGGTTCACATTATTGTAAGGTTAGTAAACCTACACAGGCTAGCAGGTCAGGAATTCCAGGGAACCTTTTCTAAGATTCAATGGATATTGATTCTCACATCCAATTAGTTGAGAGCAATGCTGTTTGGGACTTCCAGGATTATAGCAGTCACTCCAGAAATTCTTTGATGAGAAGGGCCTGTTATGCATGCCCTAAACAGGAGAATTAGAATACTAGCTCTCAAAAACCCACTCAGCACCCCAGAATAGAGTTACCTACTATTTCCCTGCTTGACCTTGACCTCTCTCCTCCACATCCCTTTCTCCTCCCCAATATTCCCTAAGCATACTAACAACAATTTTGGCAAGCCCTGATTTAACAGCAATTGTCATACCTTAATTCATATTACCATAGGGGTTTTAATGTTTAATAATGACAGCTCTACTTACAGAAAGAGTGGTGCATTATATCATTGATTACAAGTAGTAGTTAAAAAAATAATATTGTGGTTTACGTTTCCATTTTAGTTATTTTTCCCTTTCAGAGATGATCAATGGCAATGATATTCACAATTGTTGCCCTGCTTACGAGCTTATCTCTCCATTAAATTATTTTAGCAATTTTCATTCTAAAATACTATTATATATCCATGTTTTTCAAGTGGAATGTGCAAATGAATCACTGGAGGATGTAGTTAAAATGCAGATTGCTGAGTAAATCTTGGTTGGAGAGTTTTTAATAAGCTCCCAGGTGATGCCTACTCTACTCTGAATAATATTAAATAGAAAATAGTCCAAACTAAAACCTGGCTCTTCTTTTTTTTTTTTGGTTGTAGATGGACACAATATCTTCATTTTATTTATTTATTTATTTATTTATTTATTTATTTATTTTCTAATGAGGTACTGAAGATCAAACCCAGTGCCTCACACATCCTAGGCAAGTGCTTTACCACTGAGCTACAACCCTAGCCCCCAAACCTGGCTCTTGATTGTAATCTGTAGTCCATTATTCCCTAAATTTTAAAGCAACTGTCTACACCTCGGTAGTCTACACTGACATAGACTCTGAAGTTTGTTTATACTTTTAAAAGGATTCTTACCAATTTCACAGACTTTTGCCTTTTGGTCCTTGAACCAAACCAAAATAAAACACAAACAAAAAAAAACCCCACACCGTCTGAAATTAGGAAAGGCTGTCTGCTCTTAGTATGGGAAATTCCCAAGCTTTTCCTTGTAGTTTATGACCTCTGAATTTCTCAAATATGATCCCTAGTCATTTCTTTATTTTCAGCCTTAAAGCACTGCATTCTTCCCACTTTTTTCTTTCATGAAATATGAAGCACATACTTAGGACTATGAATGTATTTAAAACTTTTTGCTTCCAACTGGTCCTCTTCTCAAGTTACTTTTAAAGCCAAATGATCTTATTAATGGTGAATACTTTTGTCCAGAGTGCAATTTAAAACAACAAGTAAAAAAAAAAAAACAACAAAAACAAACAAACAACAACAACAACAAAAAAAAAACCCTCATTTTTCAAAACTCTGTAATATCTCCAGACTCAGGGAAAGTTGGAAAATCATAACACTTTATTAATACATCATTGAATAGAAATTTCACCTATCCCTTGACTTCTCTATGTGCATCACTATCTCTACAGATTTATGAGGAAAACAAAAACTTCATAAAATCCAGTAAATTTACTACTAGCTGAGGGTTTCAGTACTTTAAAACTTATTTAGATGCAACAAAGTTTTACAGTAAGATGTAATCAACATTTGAAGTTCCATTTAATAAAACTCGTTTTAACCTTCAGCCATATAACTAGAAATTGATAAGTCAGCATAGTGTCTCTTGATGAGAAAAAGCTTCTTTTTTTGTGAGAAAAATCTGAAATTTAGAAAGAGCTCTGTTATTAATCAACCCTCAATAATTCAGAGGAAAAAAAAAGCATTCAGCAGACAAAGTGAAGCATTTCATGCTTCAATTTACAACTTCTCCTTAAAGCCCACCAACCCATAGTGATCCCCTCCTCTTCTGAAATTTTATAACATTATCAGTCCAACTTAAATAGCAATTATTTAAAATCATCTCAGAGACGGGGCCTGGTGGCTCACACCTGTAATCCCAGCAACTAGAGAGTCTGAGGCAAGAAGATTGCAAGTTCTTAGCAATTTAGCAAAGAACCTCTACAACTTAGACCCTGTCTCAAAATAAAAAATAAAGTAAAATAAAATAGTAAAAAAAAAAAAAAAAAAAAAAAAAAAAGGACTGAAGACGGGCATGGTGGCCTGTAATCCCAGTGGCTCGGGAGGCTGACGCAGGAGGTTCGTGAGTTCAAAGCCAGCCTCAGCAATTTAAAGAAGGGCTAAGCAACTCAATGAGACTCTGTCTCTAAAGAAAATACAAAATAGGGGACTGAGGTTGTGGCTCAGTGGTAGAGCACTCGCCTAACGTGTGAGGCACTGGGTTCTATCCTCAGCACCACATAAAAAAATAAATAAACAAAATAAAGGTATTGTGTCCATCTACAACTAAAAAAAAAAAAAAAAAACAAACAAACAAAAAAAACCTCAGTGGTCAAATGCCTCTGAGTTCAATCCCTGGTGCCTTCTCTCTCCCCGCCAAAAAGGACTGAAGATAGAACCCATTAGTAAAGTACCCCTGGGTTTAATCCTCAGTACCAAAAAAAAAAAAAAAATAGTAGTATCACAGGTTATGTTTTTGCATGGATTTTGCCTCCCCCTACTAGTGCATGAGTTCCAAGGGCAGGCTGCATGTTTTATCATTTTGACACATCTCCTACCTAGACCCACACTAGTAGTGTACTTCACTCTATGACCATTTTCCATCACTCTACTTTCTCCCAATCTTTTGTTTTCCCTGTAGCTCTTTCAATGTTCACTAATCTAGAAGTAAATAGTATTTCATATTCTAAACATGATTCTCCTATTTTGATAAAACTAACACTCACACCAAATTCCAAAATGTACCTTTCTGGTCAATTTTTGGAATTACTGCATTTTTCTGAAGACATCATAATCTAATCAGCATTAATTGTATACCCACAGTGAGGAGGCAAAGTTATAAAATGTAGGCCCACCAGTTAAAAACAAAGGACATTTTTTTGTTATCTACTGTCTCAATCTAAACATTATAATGTTACACAACTTACCTTTTTCAGTACAGCTTTCTGTTTATACAAAAGCAGACAAGTTGTTAATAAAATAAAAAATGAAACAAAAATAAATGGTATCACAAAAAATACCATAGTTTTCGTCCGTACGCCATCTAGGATTAAAAATCACACAAAAGGGAGACTGTTAGAGGCTTATATCTAATTTTTTTTTAACATTTCTTTCTTTTTTTAGTTGTTGTTGGACACAATACCTTTATTTTATTTACTTATTTTATGTGGTGCTGAGGATGGAACCCAGGGCCTCGCATGTGCTAGGCAAGCGCTCTACCTCTGAGCCACAACCCCAGCTCCTTATAACTAATTTTTGAAATCAAATTATTTTATAAATAAAGTCCTAGTTAATGGTGAAAAGCTGCATTACACCTTGCAACCCAGCAGCCCCTGCTGTGTTTGTCAGTGTGTAGATGCCACAGTGGTATTTCAGTATATATCATTCCATTCATTTGTGAACTACTTGTTTATACAGAACAATTACTTTATTGAGCTGTGACTTTTTTTCTGGCTAGTATCAAAGATAGAACCCGGGACCTTGGCATGCTAGGCAGTTACTCTATCACTGAGCACCGTCCCCTAGCCCCTGAACTGTGACTTCTTTTAATTTCAATCAGAAAAATAACTACCCTAAGTGCATTTCCTGATCTGATTCTGTTTAAAATTTGACCTTGTGAATTTTCATTTAAAAATAGCACTGGGCATGGTTGTGCACGCCTATAATTCCAGCAACCCAGAAAGCTGAAGCATAAGGATTGAAAGTTTGAGGACAGCCCAGGAAACCTAGTGAGACCCTGTCTCAAAATTTAAAATAAAAAATAATAAGGGATGGGAATTGAGCTCAGTGGTAGAATGCCCTGGTGTTCAATCTCCAGTATTAAATAAGTAAATAGGATAAAATATTAGTCAAGTGATTAAACAAATATGTTCTGTAAATCTTTTAACTCTCAGCAAATCAAATGTTTACTTATATCACCTGATGCTGTAAGGAGCAGGAGCTCGTCTTCAATAAAAATATATGTGTGCATGAGGAATGGAGCTAGTCTTTTTTTAACAGCAGATAAATTTTTATTCAGCCTCTTAGCTCACAGCATGAGGTAAAAGAAAAACAGTTCTTCTTAATCAATATTTTACAAAGCTATAGTAAAATATTTTACACTTCAGGAATTTATAAGGGATTACATTTCTCAAAAGTTGGGATCCAGTAAACAAATTTTAACTCCTTAAATTTTCTGGTGACCCTTCCTTTATGAAAGTAACAAGTTCTAATTAGCTATATAAATTTTAGGGCCAAGTTTTATCACTGTTGCTGTTTTTAGATTTGAAATGCTGCTATTTCAATCATCATTCAGTGATTCTACTTTAGAAATTAGTTTTGCATTTGGTAGAATCTGGGCATCAGACTGTTCTTTCTTTTCATAAACCCATTCTGATTCAATCTCCAGTATAGCCTTTTGTTCTTTACTCATAGCCAGAAGTGATTTATCTCATCCTCTGATAACTTGGACTATTCCAACCTTAAAACTTGAAGGCTTGACATTTTTCTTCTTCTTTGGACTCATTTGAATATTAGTATCAACAACAGTCCTTTCCTGTAGTGTTCTAGTGTACCAACAATGAAAATCTCCCTTTTTCAGAAAAGTTGGTTTTATTCCCTGCCCCTTGTGTGTATGTGTATGTGTGTTGGGGAGAGGGGCAGATACTAGAGATTGCACCCAGGGCCATGATTCCATTAAGCCACATCTCCAGCTTTTTGACACAGGGTCTCTCCAAATTTACTGAGGCTGACCTGGAACTTGAGATCCTTCTGACCCAGCCTCCCGAGTCACTGGGATTATCGGCCTGTGCCACCACACCTGGCTATCTCCCTGTTTCAGAACAGATTCTGTGATTTGGATGGTCCCTCATCTGGAGTCTCTTTCATACTTGCTTTCTTTTGAGTTAAGCTTCACATTTTTCACTCGCTGGAATATTTATACTTTTGGCATCACTAAAATGCTTACTTTCAAAAAGATGGTAATAGACTGTAACTAAATGCCCTTATTAGCTGTTTGGCTACAATTTCAGTGTTTCCTAGTAAATTATGCTCTTCAAGAAATGACTGTGAGCCAGGCATAGTGGTGCATGCTTGTAATCCCAGGGGCTGAGGAGGCTGAGGCAGGAGGATCACAAGTTCAAAACCAGTCTCAGCAAAAGTGAGGTGCTAAGCAACTTCGTGAGACCTTGTCTCTAAATAAAAATACAAAATAGAGCTGGGGATGTGGCTCAATGGTTCAGTGCCCCTGAGTTCAATCCCTGGAACCAAAAAAAAGTTAAAAAAAAGAAAGAAATGACTGTGAGGGTTGGGGTTGTGGCCCAGGGGTAGAGCACTTGCCTAGCATGTGTGAGGCCCTGGATTCAATTTTCAGCACCACATATAAATAAATAAAAATAAAGGTCCATCAACAAC